AATGCTCATCACTATCCTGATAGTATTGAACTTCACCACGGGGGTAAAAATATCGGTGTAGTCAATTCTTTCCTTCTGTTGGAATCCTTTGATAACTAGCCTGGCTTTATATCTTCTAGAACCATATTTCTCCTCTTTCAACCGGTACACCTATTTGTTGTGGAGTGTCATCTTACCCGTGAGCAACTCAGCTAGATCCCACGTCTGATTTGAGATGAGAGACTTCATCTCATCTTTCATGGCAAGCTCCTACTTGTTCGCATCTCTACTCTAACAAGCTTCATCATAGCTTTCATGCTCCTCTCCATCTGTTAACAATAGATAGCTCATATATCTCCTACTAGGCACAGGAGGCCGAGAAGATCTTCTTAATATCGGAGCTGGTACGTCGGGCTCCTGCGCACCGTTCTGTCCAACAGACTCTTCTGACTGAGGACCTTCTATATTGGGTTCTTCTGAGAGGTTACTCGGGACATCATCTGCATCTACAAATATTAACTCACTCTCTAAGTCATCTGTCTTGTTCATATCCTTGTACATCACCTTCTCGTTGAATATCATATCTCTTCTCCTGATCACCTTCTTTTTTCATTGTTCCAAATGTGGTAGCTGAACTCATCTTCACCATACCCGATGAAAGTGTATTTTTTTAACTTGGGATCAAGCTTATTCCTGCCTTGATCATTAATATACACATAAGCTACACAACCAAAAACTTTGAGATGCGAGTGTTTTACCTCCTTTCCGCACTATATCTCTTCTGGTATTCTATACTCCAATGGAACCGATGGACCTCGGTTGATCAAGTAAGCTGCTATATTGACTGCTTCTACCTAGAACTACTTCAGTAGACCTCACTGTATCCGAATACTTCTGGCTCTCTCTGTCAACGTTCTGTTCATCCACTCAGCTACACCATTGTGCTGAGGTGTGTCAGGCACGGTTCTCTTCATTTTGATCCCGTGCTCATAACAAAACTTCTTGAATCTAGTGTCTTCATACTCACCACCATTATCGGTTCTGAGCTTCTTTATTCTCAGACCGGTCTCATTCTCGACAATGGCTTTCCATCTCCTGAAAGCTTCAAATACTTCTGATTTATGCTTCAGAAAGTAGACCTACACTTTCTGAGAGAGATCATCGATAGAAGTCACAAAGTAGTGTTTCCCACCAATGGACACGATGGTGGTTGGTCCCCAAACATCTGAGTGAACGAGCTCTAGCTTCTCCTTCTTGGGGGTTCTGCCACTTGTCTGAAAGCTGACTCTCTTCTGCTTTTCAAGTATGCATTCTTCACACATGCCCATCTCCACTGACTACAGTCCTGAGAGTTTTCCCTTTGTGTGCATGATTCTCATCCCCTTCTCACTCATATGACCGAGTCTCTGGTACTACAGCTTTGAACTCTCATTGCCTGCTGCAAGTGAGATCAAATAATGTACACCTGCTGTCATATACAAGGTACCAGTCTTCTTACCTCGGGTAATCATCATTACGCCCTTTGAGATCTTCTAATAATCTCCATGGAAGGTCGTAGTGTATCCTTCGCCAGCCAGCCTACTGATATTAAGTTCTTTCTCGGGTTGGGAATATGTCTGACATCCTTCAGGTCCCATACTGACCCGTTCAACTTAATTTTCACTACACATTTGCCCACAATAGCACACAGTTGATCATCACCAAGGTATACATATCCAAGATTTTTGAGAACATACTTCTCGAAGAATTCTTTCTGAGAAGTAGCATGGAACGACGCTCCTGAATCTAACACCTAAGATTCCTCCTTACTCTCCAAAGAGCATATCAATGTATCGTCTCCTCCTGAGATGGAAGTAACATTCACCTCTGCCTTCGCCTCCTCTCCTTCTGTGCACTCTTGCACTGATTCTTGTAATATCCAGTCTTTCCATAATTCTAACACTCGATAGCCTTCGAGTTGTTGCTTGGATTCCTTGACTTGAACCTTCTGTCCTTTGATCTACCTCTGTAGTTTGATTTGTCTCGTCTGTTCCCTCTGGTTGAATTTCTACCTCTTGACTCTGTATGCAATACTGAAGAGGTTGTAGCTTCACCCGACTCTCTTTGTCGGATCTCCTCACTGAGAATCAGATCACGAACATCGTCGAACTTTAACTTGTTGCTTCCCGATGAGCTACTCACAGCCGTGACTGTAGCGTTCCAGCTTTCTGGCAAGGAAGACAAAAGGATCAACGCTCGAACTTCCTCATCAAACACAATTTTAATTGAACTCAATTGGATTGTGACCGCGTTGAGTTCATTGTGGTGTTGTGCTACTGACGCGCCTTCCGCCATTTTCAGATTGAATAACCGCCTCATCAAATGAACTTTGTTCGCAGCTAATGGCTTCTCATACATATTTGAGAGTGCTGCCATAAGACTCGTCGTGGTCTTCTTCTTCTCAATATTGAACTCAATATTACGAGTTAACGTCAATCTGATAACTCCGAGGACTTGTCTGTGTAGAAGGCTCCATTCATCCTCCTTCATAAACTCCGGCTTCTCTCCTGAAAGGGGTTGATACGTATTTTTCTAACTTCCTCTATCTGTATTTTCCAGAATCTGAAATATGTTCCATCAAACTTCTCTAATCTCACTTTTCATTCATCTGCGGTCATCGCTCCCACTTGAATCTGACTTTCTCTAAATCATTTCAGGCTTTGATACCAGTTGTTGGAACCAGGGCTATGCTAAACCCCTAAAATAGCAAAACGTGGTATAGAGAAAAGTACACCAAGATTTATGAGGTTCGGCAAACTTTCCTACGTCCTCGGAGCCACACGATTAATTTCTTATTAATCAACAAGAAATTATAATGCAAGAGCAGGTCTCAAACTTGAGATCTCTATATAAATACAAATCAACACTGTAGCTACAGTATTGATTCCCCACCTTTTCCCCCTCTTTAATAAGTTCCCCTCAATAAATTCCACTCAATAACTTCCTCCCCACAAAATCTCCCCTCAACTCTTTGAGCGCTGGAGATAAAGAGTAGAAGAAAAATCGCAGCAGGGAAGAGAACAAGCGCCGCNCGCCCGCGCCTCGTTCGAGCTCGCATGTTCTTCGACTTCGCCTGCAAGTCTCCCGCTCGAGCTCGCCTGTTCTTCGATTCGACCTCGAGCTCGCCTGCATCGAGGTTTGGATCCACACCCAAATCCAACATGACCATGGCAACGACCTAGGCGCCGATGAGAAATGTTGAAGCGCTTTTGTTGGAATGTTTCCTTACTTGTCCACCACCTCTGTTATCAACGTATCCTTACATTATTTGTTACAGTCTATCCTTACACCTTTGGAGAGACCCGTATGTGCGCATGAAATTCCTAGTGTCTGCATTTCTCATGAAACCATGACTGTAGTAAGCAACATTACCTCACTGCTGCTATCCACCAACCCTTTATTCTTATACCTACAACACGGGCAATACATCACCATGCCAGTCATAGGTCATTCCATGAACTCGTTTCTGTATACTTCATGAAAGTGTCTAATCGGGCTTGATATCGAACACTTAATTTGCCTTATAATGATTACTAAGAACATATATTCTGTTCTTCCTGCCTTCTCGCCCAACTCTTTACTCTTCTGTTGGCAAGCCGAAAAGCTAGTGACGAGTATAAGTTTTGAAGTATATATACTATTTATGTGATAGATCCAAAGCATGAAAAATTGCAATCAAACTTTGACATCTTCCTCCACAATAATTTTATAACCATAAGCTCAATTCTCTTGCAAGCACCCACAGCTTTGGTCACTAGATTGAATAAGAAATTAAGTGAATACCTGAATTGGAATGCACAAGATAAAAGGCATCAATTTACTAAGCAAGAAAAAGTGGCTCATACGTGACACAAAGGCTTGAAGCGTTTATTAAGCTAAAGAAAAGCACTTGGAAAGTTCAAAACATCTCCCCAGAAGTTTCCACACCCCCATCATCACCTCCCCGAGTAAACACTGGAATATACTCCTCTTTCCTTTTCCCTTGCAAATGCCACGCCCGCCCCCAAACAAAGTTGGGTCCTACTCCCCTCGTGCAACAGAATTATTGTCCATGATTCCTCGGCCCACGCTTTCACCCACACAAAACAATATATGGGGGAGAAAAGCTAAATCTTCTTTGCTTTAACATCTGTGTGGCACAAATTTGCTTTAATTTGTTCCTATTTTATCGATATCTGTCGTAAAATATAAAAGTTATAATCCTTAATTTTTAACTTAACTTAGAAATTTTGACACATTAGAAGAAATTTTAAAATAATAACAAATCAACTCAAGTTTAAATCTCATCGGTCATAAATTTAAAATTAGGAGAAAAAAAAGACTGAATGTTTAAGTTCAAATGCCAACCTATTAAAATGTCAATTCAATTCAATTTAAAAAAGTTAGCAAATAAAATTATAACTTCAAAATACTCACTTTAACTTTGAAATTAATTATGATACGGTGAACAACATCTTACGTACACGTCTCTTTAATAAGATTTCAGATCCGGTCTACTACCAAAAAAGAGGAAGACCAATTATTAGACCTTACATTTCAAAATACTACTTTTCTATTGTTTATTATTTATTAGTATGTAAAACTATCTAAATATTTATTAAAAAAGGGCTGTTCGCATATACACTCATTAAATCATGGGTATTTGCTAAAAGGCCTCCCATACCTTAGTCTTTACAAAATTACCCCTCAAATTATTAACTTTGGGGGAAAAAATACCCCTAAAATCAACAAATCGTCAACTTGGTGATAAAAATTACAAATTAGCTTATCAAAGTTGATGATTAATTGCTTTGAGGATATTTTTTTTTCAAAGTTGATAATTTGAGAAGTAATTTTGCAAATACTGATATTTGGAGGGTATTTTTATAAATACACATGATGTAAGGGGTGTATATATTCAAATAACGCAAGAAAACAAACATGGCCATTTCCCCACTCCTTCAATTCTTCTCTCCAACCTATAAATACCCCCACTACCCAACTCACTTCCCCTTACAAGTTACAACTCACCAAACCAAAACCCCCCCCTGCTCCCTCTCACTTTCTCAACTTCAAACAACGACAAAAATGAGGATGGTAGACCTCGGCAACCAGCGAGGCCCCCTCTGCATCATCGACCCCTCCCATCTCCCCTCCTCCGACTCCTCCGACTCCGACTCCTCCACAGTCACTACCACCACCTCCACCGTCACCGGCACCTTCTTCGGATACCGAAAAGGCCGCGTCAGCTTCTGCATCCAATCCCACTCCAGCTCCGTCCCCCTCCTCCTCCTCGAATTCTCCATCCCCACCTCCTACCTAGCCAAGGAAATGCAGTACGGCCTCCTCCGCATCGCCCTCGAGTGCAACCGGGTCGGGTCCAGGTCCCGGTCGGGTCAGTTGTTTAACATACCCGTCTGGACAATGTACTGTAACGGCAGAAGGGTTGGGTACGCGTTGAAGAGGCAGATGAGTGAAGGAGACGTTGCTCTGCTGTTGAAGACGATGAAGTCGACGTCGGTCGGCGCCGGAGTTTTGCCGGGGTTGGTGAAGCCGGAGAGCGGGGACATGATGTACTTGAGGGCGAGGTTTGAGCGGGTTATCGGGTCGGTTGATTCGGAGTCCTTTCATATGATGAATCCGGTTGGGAGTACGGGGCAAGAGCTCAGTATTTTTCTGTTGAGATCTTAGAGATGTAGAATGTTTTGTATTGTGGATTAATATTAATAATTGTATAGATCTAGAGTGAAGTAGATACTAAGCCAAATTTTCTATTGTACTTTTGATTTTGAGTCAAAAGTGTGTACAGTTACCTTTTAGCAAGTTATAGACTTATATATGCATGGACGGACTGGTACTTTATATAATTGCAAGATACCTTTAATATTTTGAAGGAGGTTGATTATTTCATGCCATAGTGAAGAAAGTAGGGTGCATATACATAAATTAGGGGCTAAACATAAAGAAAATTAAGATCGCTCAAGTGGCACTAGCATGCATTATTATTTATAATATAAAGTTGTGACGTACTTCTGTTCTTTTTCTATTTGGAGTGGGAATATAGAACTTTTAAATGAGAAAGAATGGATATATTAAAGATGAAATCAAGGAACTATGAACATAATCATGAAGGTTTAGGCATGCGATGTAAGAGTTGACTGAAGTAGGACAGTTGGTTTTAGAGATCAATACTTCGTTGTTTTTTATGTGCGAGAATATCTCCGTTATTATTTTAATAAAAGAAACTAACTTTGGAGCATTCTCCCAAAAAATTCCTTAAACTTCATTTTTCTCCCTAACGACCAAAACATTTCCCACGCGACCCATCAAAACTCCAAAGTGCCTCAAATAGCCCCCACAACATTTTTTTAGTTTTCCCACAAAGCCCCCCTAAAATGTCTCTTGCACTTGGTGTTGGAACTGAGATGCAAGCCTAGAGAGAGGGTGAATAGTATTGCTATAATTCTTCGACTAACTCAGAATAAGTAGCAAAAATAAAATAAGCGAAAAACTAAAAGCAAATCAACACAGAATCACACAAGATTTTTATAATGGTTTGGATTAAAATCATGCGTTCACTCTTCCTTCTCACGAATGACCTTCTTTACTATGACCAGAGCTTACCCAAATTAAAACCTGATTTGGTGTGCTTTAAAGACCACACCCTGGAATCTACCCAAACCTGTCGCCTAAGTTAATTCTTCACAATGATTAGAAGAAACTAGCCCTAGCTAGCCAAACCCTCGGTTAATATAGCTTGACTACGCCAACCCTCAACTACCCTTGCTTGAGTACGCTGTTAAACTCACAAGTTTGAAATACAATCAACCCAAAATAATTAAAGTATAAATTAAAAGAACAATCATGCATTTCTTTATCAAATTGTTCTTCAAATCGATGTAGATGAAGATCCGTGAATAAGGTTGTAGCTTTGTAGGTGTAGGGCATTCCTTCTCGCTGAATCAAACTCTGATGAATAGCGCATCGAGAAGAAGTTGAACAAGGATAAGGGGATTTGATCATCTCTCTCTCTCTCTCTCTCTCTCTCTCTCTCTCTCTCTCTCTCTCTCTCTATCTATCTATCTATCTATCTCTCTCTCTCTCTCTCTCTCTCTCTCTCTCTCTCTCTCTCTCTCAAACCCTATAACAAAGATCTCTCTGTTTTGTATATTTTCCTCCTTGTTAATTTTGATCTCCAACTCCCCTTAAATATACCTTGAGAGGATAGGAAAGTGATACCCAAATCTGAGTGCAGATAGGAGATCAAATGAGTCAACGAACGATTGAGATTAAAGCATGAATTCTACTAAAACACGACATAACCATCGATGGGGAGACACGATCATCGATGGTCTATTGATGATCATTGATGGTTGGATGTATTCCATTGATTATGCAAATTCTTATTTTGGGATTTTTTTTTTGATTATATGACTATAGTCTATCGATTGTCATTGCGATTATCAACAATCGATGATTGACTATAGACCATCGATGGTCTAATTTCTAGTTTCTGTTTCTCTAATTCTTTTCAGTAGTACTTTGATGACTTGGCTTTAACATTGATAGGGCCTCTTGACCATCAATGGTTAAAAAGATGAAATCAATGTTCGTGTTGATTTTTACATCATTTTGAACCGTAACTTGTTTCATTCATGTTTACACATAAAATATATCATCTTACAAATATAACACTAGAAAATAAGTGTTTGTTATTAAATAAACAAGATATATTACACGAACAATGTTCTACTCGAACAATATTCTAATAATATCCCCCTTTTGATAATAACAAAACTTAAAATTAAAGTAAAAACTGTAAAACATGATGAGATATATATTCAATTCAAAATAACATCATAAAAATGTATGGTAACAATGCAACGCCCCCCCCCCCCCCTATAAATATGCATACTAAAAGAGTACAGGTATTCCAGAAACTCCCCCTGAAACTAAGCAAATTCCAATTTTTAAACACATGTAATCTTCTCCCTCTAAAACAAAGCAAAATTTTGAAACTTTTCAAATCCCCCCTCCCCCTCTTTTTTTTAGCAAAGAAGAACACACATAGGATATGGATTATACCTAAAATTTTAAATAAAATTTATTCAAAGATAAAAGGAAGAGAAATTCATATGGTTCACAAATTTTTTTTTATAGAAAGTAGCACGAGAGATACAATATATAATATCAAAATAAGTTAACCATGATGGTAGGTCATATTAAAATTCACGCACAAACTTTGAAGATATTATTGAAAAGTTTGTAAAAACCTCAATAAAAGTAATATTAGTTCATAAAATAAATTTAGATATATCTTATCTAATTTGAGCTTCTTCTTTTATTACTCAACTTGAATTATCTCAACCTTTGGAAAATGTCCAAAATCTTAATCTATCACCTCAATCATATAGGATTTTTTAAGAGGAAGAAGATAGTATTTAGAGGGCGATGTACATCATCTTTAAATATTAAAAATATTTAGCATAGGATGGATAACCTTGAGATATTACATAATCAAATCCACGAGTGTGGGTCTTTGATCATCTTTTAACGTGTACACTCAAATTTGACCGTGGATTTATAGAGTGTGGGTTTTTACCATCTTTTTTACAAATACACTCTTTTTGCTTGAAGTTTAATAGCACTAATGTGCTATGTACATGAAAATTTTTGATGCTATATTCAAGTATAGACTGAGCTCAAAACTATTTGACATATCTAAAAACACTTCATGAACAATATATAAAAATATTTATTCTTACTTTTACAAGACTAAACATGACAAGTAATACTAAGGTGTGAAAAGTAATACGAAATATATCATGAATCATCATGTTTATCAATCAAATATGTATAACTATATGTGCACATATAATGTAAGAAGTGAAAAATATGTGAACCAATATGACTGTTTGATGCCTATATACCAACAAATAATCATATCTGGATATTTCATGCAAAAGTATATACATAGGCATGTTCATGTTTTTTAATGAAAAATAAAGAAAAAGAATATTTTATTTTATTTTTATTTTTCATAAGAAAACAAAAAGAAAGAAAGAGAAAATTTTATTTTGTTTTTCATTTTTTATAAGAATATAAAAAGAAAGAAAGAGAAATTTTTATTTTTTAATATATAAAAATAACCAAAAATCAAGAAAAAATAAAATAAAAACCAAAAAATATATGTACATACAACATGTTAGGTGAGCATGTAGAAAAGTACAACTAAACAGATATGTAATGAAAGTCAATAAAAGTTAGTATATGCCAGTGTATATCATGCATCATATGAATATACAAGTCTAGAATAATAAGAAAATAAAAGAAAAAATAAGTGTAAAATAAAGAAAGAAGAAAAATAATCCTGGATCAAGAAAATAAAAAGATGAAACAATCATCGTAAAATGTCATATCTCTCCATCTCCTCATGGCCATATCCACGGGTATCTTGGGCATAAAATCTCTGTCGACTGGTGGTGTAGGAAGCGATGGATCAATCCCACGAGCATCATCTATTAGAAACTAAAGAGAAGCGTCATAGAACCGATGTTGCATCATAGTACTCATGTTGATCACTCATATCAACTCTCATGGACTTCACTCTCATATAGCAACTACAATCTCTTTCCTTGAGTATCCAAAGTCCAATAAGAAGCATCACCTCCTAAAGAGCCAGGAATATCATCTCTTGCAAGTTCAGACCCAAATGGTTGACCGACTGAGGACTTTCCCTTTCATCTTGCGCCTAAGCTCTTCCTAGTCATCTCATCACACAAAGCAGCTCTCCCCTTCTCCATCTAATCAAAAGGTGAAATAGGAATCCTCTGATCCTTACAAATGCGAGTGATCAAGAAGGATTAGACTAGCTGAGTGTTCTATTTCTTCTTCTTCTCAACCAACTCCCTAGTGCGTAAGGCAACTAATGATATCCATACAAAATTAATTTGTGCAGGATCAAGTGACTGACCCTAAGTAATCTAATATAGAAAAATGACAACTCGAATAGATAAAGTAGTGTAAGCAGCACTAGGATATGGATCAAACTTAAGAACGAGATTAAGAAGGACATACTCAGATTTTAGATAACTTGTGTTGTATACACCTAAAAAGGATTTATTTGTGAGGTAATCAATCATGTGGGTGTAATCCTTAGAACCAATAGGGACGTTCCCTGAAAAGATAAAAACATCGTGGCATCTCTACTGTGGTGGTGGTAGACGAAGAATCATGTGGATGTAATCAGTAATAATCGTAATCAGAAGTTCCATAGGGTAGGCTGTAGTTCATGTAGAATTCCCGAACCCAAGAAACATTATCTTTATCTCCTCCTTTATCCTTCATTGATCCTAGATTAGCTACATATCACACTCCTGCACTCCTGCAAATGTCTCTCGTCTAGCCCTCGCTCATACACAATATATAACTTCTTGTATTTCTCGAGCATCTCTTGAGATGATGGTAGTGAAGATTGAGCTCTCTTGTTAGAAGGCATTCTCTACAAAGTCAAATAAATAGGTATTAGCATAGAGAATATACATAAGATAGTCTAGAATCAAAGATATAGTAAGTAAATTATGAAAAACAAGCAAAAATATTAGTTTCAGCTTATACACCATCGATGGATAACGGACAACCATCGATAGTTGAAACACCGTCGATGGTGTTCTTCGACCATCAATGGTGTTCTTCGACCATCGATGGTCTATGAACCGAACCTAACGTGTTTTTCCCTAAATCATCTAAAACTTGTATACAACTCAACAATCAATAATCTAAAACATTCTAATACTCATTCATATTTCATCCACACAAGATTTACTATCAAAATCATTCAAAAATCACAAGAAATAATCAAAATTAA